GAATATAATACAGTGTTTTAATATTAGTCTGCCTTGGTCATTTATATTTACTGCCTCTGCTTCTCTGCCTGCAGCTGGACAAAGAATAAACATTTCATGAAAAAAACCGAGTATCAAGACAACAAAAGATACAAAACACATGATTCCAGTAGGATCTTGGAGGTCCCAAAATACATAAACAAACTAGTATGAAAAGGTCTTTCTCATAACATAACGCAATTCATGCCCCCAACTTATTTTACACTCTACTGGCTACAGTCGCCATGCATCAGCACCAACTGATTTCACGCTTTATGGGCTGGGAAACACTCCGCAGCGAAGTCTCTTTCACACTCCACTGACATGGTAACCCCACAGCTCACCAGCTTAACTGCTCCAAGTTTAATGTCAGCACCTATTATTGACCACCTCAAAAAGCAGTCAGATAAAAGCTTTAATATAACTGAAAAATAGCAATATAATATGTAACAGAAAGGCAGAGAGGAAAGTTTGCTTCCTACTCTGCATATGTAACTGGTGGCAGGGGGCAGGAAGAGAAGAAAAAAACTCCCTCCTAAAACTTCCCTCATTACACATCTGGAGGTTGGTCTGTTTCTACAGTTATTGGAAATTAGTTCCTCTCCTGGGTCCATTCTGGGTTTAACTGACATCCTATGGATGACAATAAAGGAGCTCAAATGGATAAGGCTTTGGGCGCTTTACCTCAACCTTGACATGCATTAAACCTGATTTTTTTTTCCTTTTTTAAATTCAGAGAAAAGCTAATAAACTACTGAGTAAATTTTGAAAGTAGAGGCCACCGGACTTAATCTCAGCTAAGTGTCACATATATTATCTCATTTGATCCCAACTACAATACTAAGAGGTAGCTATTATTATCCTAACTTTATAGAGGAGAAATCTGAAACTTAAGTTACTAAAGTTCACACAGTTTCCAAGTGTTGAATAGGATTTCAAAGTCTCTGCACATAACTACTACACTAGACCAGAACACATGCCTTCTAAAAATTGTGTTGGGGTAAAAATGCATAGCACAGAATAGTTTAATTTTTAAAATACCAAATCATAATAACAACAAAAATGAATTAATTATAAACGATGTGGGGTCTGTCTGTTAGAGACAGTATCTGTCGCCTCCCTCCTTGGAGCTACACCAACAAGTGTGAAATGTGCATGGTGAGAAACTGAAAAATCAAAAGCAAGTTTCAGGCAAAGAAAGCATTAGCAACTTAATAAATTTAAGAGTTTCTCTTCTATGCAGTTTCAAAGTTTACTGATTGGAGTTTCAAGAATAACAAATAATTACAATACAGTAACTTCTTCAAAACAATGTTACTTTAAGGAACAGAATGCCTGTATACAGGGCTACAGAAGGCTTTCAAAAAAGAATCATCTGCTGAAGGAACATGGCTCAGGTATTTAAACAATTTTTATCTAGTATTCTTATGATACAAAGAGAAAGATAATTGTTAAAGATGGGTAAAAACCAACAATAGGCAATGGCAATTTTTTTTTAACCATCAAAAAATACTTATTAAGTGCACATATTGTATTGACATCACTGGTGGGGTAGTAGATGGTGGGGTAGTAGAAATTATAAGGTAGAACTACAAGTAACATTATGGTTTAAAACACATGTGTTAAAAATAAAGCTTCCCCTTAAGATGTCTCTACCTAATTGGAAAGATTTTTTTAAAATGTTGTTTTAAGGGAATATATGTCTCTAACTGCCAAATAAAGAGAAAAGCAGTAAATGATAGAAAGCAGAGCAGAAAAATATCACTAACGGTTTGGAATGGGTGAGGAAAATGTCATAAAGTGGGTGGAACTGAGGCTAGGCCTTTAGAAGCAGATACTCAAACACAGAATTGAAGGGAGACATTACAAGTGGAAAGAACAGACTCAACATGTGAAGAGGCAAAAAGTCAGAAAGTGTTATTTTGGAGAGTTACAGAAACTAGTTGTCTTAGTTCAGGCTGCTATAACAAAGTACCACAGACTGGGTGGCTTAAGCACAACAAAAATTTCTCATAATTCTAATAGCTAGAAGTCCAAGATCAGGGTGCCAGCATGGCCTGGTTCTGGAGCAGGCCCTCTTCTAAGTTGCAGTGGGTTGAGAATATATGTATATATGTATATGTATATGTGTATGTGTATGTGTATGTATATGTATATGAATATATGTATATGTTTTCTCATATAGCAAAAAAGAGAGCAGGCTAGCTCCCTGGCTGCTTCTTGTCTTTTGTTTGTTTTGTTTTTGAGATGGAGTTTTTGCTCTTGTTGCCCAGACTGGAGTGCAATGGTGTACTCTTAGCTCACTGCAACCTCTGCCTCCTGGGCTCAAGTGATTCTCCTGCCTCAGCCTCCCAAGCAGCTGGGATTACAGGCACGCGCCACCACGCTGGCTAATTTTTTGTATTTAGCAGGGACAGGGTTTCACCACATTGGTCAGGCTGGTTTCGAACTCCTGACCTCAGGTGAGCCACCCGCCTCAGCCTCCCAAAGTGCTAGGACTACAGGGGTGAGCCACCACACCTGGCCCCTGGCTTCTTCTTAAAAAGGTAGTCATCTCATTCATGAGAGCTCCACCCTCATGACTAAATTACATCTGGAAGGCCCCACCTCCAAATACCATCATACTGGGGACTAGATTTCAACATATGAGTTTAGGGAGAACACAAACATTCAGTCCCCAATACTAGTCTGGGCTACAGCCAAAGGTTCATTGTAGCAAAGCTATTTACTTTGTATAACTATTTTCATACTGAAAGAAAGAACTGAACCATAACTTGCCCACATTAAATTCTACTCCACAATCCAAATAATATCCATAAATTCCTACCTTGATGTCTGACAATGCTTGCTCTGGAAACAGTAGCAGCTGATAATATATGTATCAAATCAATCAAATAAACAAGATACATATTCATCTGAGATGAATGGCATAGCCACTGTGGATCTAGATATGGTAACTGGCCTTACTACTACTACAATAATTCTTGGAAAAGATAAGCCCTATCCCCATTACCCTTACCTTTCCAGTTTCATTTCCTGGTATGATGTGATATTTCTAGTCTCCTCAGAAGTTTTAATTCCATCCAACCCATGCTTTCATCAATAGAACATATAACCTTACAAGGTTTTTTGCTATTTGTTTTTTTGAAAAAGAGTCTCACTCTGGCACCCAGGCTGGAGTGCACTGATGCAATCACAACTCACTGCAATCTCTGCCTCCCTGGCTCAAACTATTCTCATAACTCAACTTCCAAAATAGCTGGGATTACAGGCATACCCCACCATGGTCAGCTAATTTTTTGTATTTATAGTAGAGATGAGGTTTCCCTGTGTTGGCAAGGCTGGTCTTAAACTCCAGGTCTCAAGTCATCTGCCCACCTAGGCCTCCCGAAGTGCTGGGATTACAGGAGTGAGGTGCCACACCCAGCCAAACTTACAGTTTGCATGACAGAATAACATCTTGAAAGGAAAGGTGAAATACAGTATTTCCACCCCACCCTCCAGCTATTTGTTTCAGAGCTGTATTAGCAGAACCCAACAACTAAAATACCTTCCATTCAAACTGCCCACAAAACTTAGAAGCTGCTCTGCTCTTGTCTCACTTCTTCCCCTCCCCGCCTCCTCTATAACTTACACACAACCACCTCACTCTGCTGTCCACTTTCCCCAACTGCTGCCCAACAATTCACAGGCTGTCACAGATTGTCAGCACTGCGTTTGGGGACTTGAGAAGTACTCTTGTGGGACAGCACAGTGTGTTAGTACAGCATTTTCCCAGACACAATGTCACTCTTTATAGCCAGCTGCAAATTAGTTTCTTCTTAAAAAAAAATAATACTCCTAATAAGACAGGTACAAGGAGATTTCAAATAACCAAGATTAAAACTCATTTTGATTTGTTCTGATACCAAGGCCTTTCCAGTCATGCACAATGAAATCCTACGCTTCTAGTCACACGAGCTATGCAAAACATCTAGAAATACCTAAGACTGTTTTCTGATGCTAACAAAAGCAAAAAGACTAAGAAAAAAACCAAATCTAAGGATAATCTTGTTCCTCTCTTTTTTCTGTGCCTATAGTTCCTCATCCCTGGATTCTATTTGAGACTACACAGTTTAAACTCAGCTCTCAACATCAACGTTTATTTCTCACTGTGTTTAGCTGTGCAAAGCCATTTAAGAGAAAATTCGGCAAATCACCAGTATTGTGTCATAATTTCCATCTAAGTTTTGCAATGTGCGTCAGCTGCACATGAGTATATTTATCTTCTGACAATCGCTGTGACCAACCCTCTGGTTACCATTAAAGCTATCACCCTATGCATCGGCTGGCCCATTGTCACTGGCTACACAGGAGAGTCAGAAGCTGAAATATACTCAAAAGATCATCAGAGGATGTGAGTAAGAAAACCTCACAAAACAGCAGGTTTTATCAACCTACTAAATCTTCCTTGAAAAAGAAATTTTTAACTGACAATAAATACGTATAGGGTAATATTTAAACATTAAAATCAGTTACCTTTTTTCATTTCTAAGTTATTTAACAACATTTTTCATTCTGTTTTATAATACTTTACTATTTAAATGACTCCCTATTCTTCCTGAATCAGTTAATCAAACCCTTGAAATAACACTGCATCTTTGCTGCTTACTATATAACTAGGGAAGCCAGAACTTGTTAAGAAGGATGTTAACTCTCACTGTTACACTGGAAAGAGACAGAGCAAAGCTAGTAATCCAACTTTGAAAACTCATCCCAATATTTAAACAGCACCTGTTCTCTCTACTACAAACAATAAAATTAAAACAGTAAACAGAAGTAAGAAGATCTTCAAAAGACCCTACATCTTTCAGAAAACTGCCATTTTCAAACTTGTTTTACATGACAGTTGCAAAATAAAATGACACTGTAAAAACAAAATACAAGCGAACAAATCTTTAAACAGACAATATTTCTATAAAATATGAATAAAGGCAACTTACCATATAAGTGACATTTTATTTTCTTAATAATGAAACTCTACAACATGCAGATACACTGTGTCTGAAGGCAAATTGTACAAAAGTTCCTTTCTGACCAACAGCAGCCTCACCTAAAAAACAGTAATAATAAAAGTTATTTTTATACAGTTATTTCTTTGACACCTGTCTAGGCACTTAAATTATTTCACTTTGTAAATACTAAGAGTTTAACACAGTGATTTGCCACACAATGTGCAATGAAGACACACAAACAAAAACACTTTTTAGAAGCTCATCAACCAATCAGAATAAGGAAAAGGCATCTTCTGTCATTCTCAGACCTGCGGACAGAAAAGTATAACTGTCAACAACAACAAAAAAGATAAGACACAAAATAACAAAAATCACAAAAAGAGACCAGGCATGGTGGCTCACGCCTATAATCCAGCACTTTGGGAAGCCAAGGCAGACAGACCACTGGAGCTCAGGGTTTCGACACCAGCCTGGACAACATGGCAAACCCCATCTCTACCAAAAACATACAATCAGCCAAGCATGGTAGCATGCACTTGTACTCCCAGCTATTCAAGAGGCTGAGTTGGGAGCATCACTTGAGGCCAGAAGGTCAAGGCTGCAGTGAGCTGTGATTGCACCACTGCACTCCAAACTGGGTGACAGAATGAGATCCCATCTCAAACATGCACACACACAGACACAGAAACACACATATACAGATGTTCAACTTACAATCGTTACTATAGTTTTAACACATGGGATAGGTTACGGAACATGATGGATACTCAGTAAGTATATGCTGGCTGGCTGACAGGCCAGCCGAATGGTGGAAGGATTAAAAAATAAAACCCTTTGGGAGGCCAAGGCGGGTAGATCATGAGGTCAAGAGATCGAGACCATCCTGATCAACAAGGTGAAACCCCGTCTCTACTAAAAATACAAAAAATTAGCTGGGCACGGTGGCGTGTGCCTGTAATCCCAGCTACTCAGGAGGCTGAGGCGGGAGAATTGCTTGAACCCAGGAGGCGGAGGTTGCGGTGAGTCGAGATCGCGCCATTGCACTCCAGCATGGGTAACAAGAGCGAAACTCTGTCTCAAAAAAATAAATAAAACCTCCTCAGTTAGCAAAGAAATGCAATCTAAACATACTTTGTTCTGCTATATAAATGGCAAATATTAAAAAAAAAAAGGCTCTATTTTGCTGAAAGTCAACAGATAGGGGTCAAACACACTGGCAGTAGAGATATAATATGGAAAGCTGTGAACACTATGTTTTGGAAACTTTTGTGTGTCAAAAAGCCTTTGACGAGGCAATTCTCCTTTGATTAATTTATCATAAAAAGGTAACTGGACTTCTACAAGGATATTTACTTATTCCAGAACTGTTTATAGTAGTAGAAAAAAATTTATTTGGGCTCTGGGGTACATGTGCACATCCTGCATCCTGCAGGATTCTTGCATAGGTACATATATGCCATGGTGGTTTGCTGTCTCCATCACCTCACCCCTGTTGCCTGCATCAGGCATTTCTCCCTGTGTTATCCCCTCCCGTCCTCCCCGCCCATACACCCTCCGCTGTCCCTTACCTCCCTAACCTAGCCCTGTGAATGTTGTTCCCCTCCCTGTGCCCAAGTATTCTCGTTGTTCATCACTCGCCTATGAGTGAAAACGTGGTATTTGGTTTTCTGTTCTTGTGTCAGTTTGCTGAGAATGATGGTTTCTAGATTCATCCATGTCTCTACAAAGGACACAAACTCATCATTTCTTAAGGCTGCATAGTATTCCATGGTGTGTATGTGCCACATTTTTTTTGTCCAGCCTATTATGAATGGGCATTTGGATTGGTTCCAGGTATTTGCTATTGTAAACATCACCGCAATGAACATACATGCATGTGTCTTCATGATAGAACAATTTATAATCCTTTGGATATATACCCAGTAATAGGATTGCTAGGTCAAATGGAATTTCTATTTCTAGATCCTCGAGAAATGTACACTTTCTTCCACAATGGTTGAACTAATTTGCACTCCCACCAACAGTGTAAAAGCGTTCCTTTTTCTCCACATCTTCTCTAGCATCTGTTGTCTCCAGATTTTTTAATGATCACCATTCTAACTGGCGTGAGATAGTATCTCAATGTAGTTTTGATTTACATTTCTCTAATGACCAGTGATGATGAGCATTTTTCATGCTTGTTGGCCACATATTTGTCTTCTTTTGAAAAGCATCTGTTCATATCCTTTGCCTACTTTTGAATGGGTTTGTTTGCTTTTTTCCTGCAAATTTGCTTTAGTTCTTTGTAGATTTTGGATATTAGCCCTTTGTCTGATAAGTAGATTGTGAAAATTTTTTCCCATTCCGTTGGTTGCCTGTTTACTCTAATGATTGTTTATTTTGCTGTTGCAGAAGCTCTTAAGTTTAATTAGGTCCCATTCGTCTATTTTGGCTTTTGTTGCCATTGCTTTTGATGAAGTCCTTGCCTTTGCCTATGTCCTGAATGGTTTTGCCTAGGTTTTCTTCTAGGTTTTTATGGTGTTAGTTCTTATGTTTAAATCTTTAATCTATCTGAGAATAATTTTTGTATAAGGTGTAGGCAAGGGGTCCAGTTTCAGCTTCCTGCATACGGCTAGACAGTTTTCCCAACAACATTTATTAATCAGATAATCCTTTCCCCATTGCTGGTTTTTGTCAGGTTTGTCAAAGATCAGGTGGTTGTGGATGTGTGGCGTTGCCTCCAAGGCCTCTGTTCTGTTCCATTGGTCTATATCTCTGTTTTGGTACCAGCACCACACACACTGTTTTGATTACTGTAGCCTTTTAGTATAGCTTGAAGTCAGGTAGCGTGATGCCTCCAGCTCTGTTCTTTTTGCGTAGAATTGTCTTGGCTATGTGGGCTCTGTTTGTTTCCATATGAAGTTTAAAGTGGTTTTTTCCAGTTCTGTGAAGAAGGTCAATGGTAGCTTCATAGGGATAGCATTGAATCTATAAATTACTTTGGGCAGTATGGCCATTTTCATAATATTGTTTCTTCCTAACCATGAGCATGGAATGTTTTTTCATCTGTTTGTGTCCTCTCTTATTTCCTTGATCAGTGGTTTGTAGTTCTCCTTAAAGAGCTCTTTTACTTCCTTTCTTAGTTGTATTCCTAGGTATTTTATTCTTTGTAGTAATTGTAAATTGAAGTTTGCTCATGATTTGGTTCTCTGTTTATCTGTTATTGGTGTATAGAAATGCTTGTGATTTCTGCACACTGATTTTGTATCTTGAGACTTTGCTGAAGTTGCTTATCAGCTTAAGGAAGTTTTGGGCTGAGATGATGGGGTCTTCTAAATATACGATCATATAATCTGCAAATAGGAACAATTTGACTTCTTCTTTTCCTAATTGAATGCCCTTTGTTTCTTTTTCTTGCCTGATTGCTCTGGCTAGAACTTCCAATACTATACTGAATAGGAGTGGTGAGAGAGGGCATCCTTGTTTAGTGCCAGTTTTTAAAGAAAATGCTTCTAATTTTTGCCCATTCAGTATGATACTGGCTGTGGGTTTGTCGTAAATAGCTTTTATTGTTTTCAGATACATTCCGTCGATACCTAGTTTACTGAGAGTTTTTAGCATAAAGGCTGTTGAATTTTGTTGAAGGCCTTCTCTGCGTCTGTTGAGATGATTATGCGGTTTTTGTCTTTGGTTCTGTTTATGTGGTGAATTACGTTTAAAGATTTGCATATGTTTAACCAGCCTTGCATCCCCCGTTTGAAGCCTACTTGATCATGGTGGATAAGCTTTTTGATGTGCTGTTGGATTTGGTTTGCCAGTATTTTGTTGAAGATTTTTGCATCAATGTTCATCATGGATATTGGCCTGTAGTTTTCTTTTTAAGTTGTGTCTCTGCCAGATTTTGGTATCAGGATGATGTTGGTCTCACAGAAACAGATCGGGAGGATTCCCTCTTTTTGTACTGTTTGGAATAGTTTCAACAGGAATGGTATCAGCTCCTCTTTGTATGTCTGGTAGAATTCAGCTGTGGACCCATCTGGACCTGGACTTTTTTTGGTCGGTAGGCTATTAATTGCTGCCTCAACTTCAGACCTTGTTATTGGTCTCTTCAGCAATCAACTTCTTCTTGGCTTAGTCTTGGGAGTGTACAAGTGTCCAGGAATTTATCAATTTCTTCCAGATTTACTGCTGTATGTGCATAGAGTTGTTTGTAGTAATCTCTGATGGTAGTCTGTATTTCCAAAGAATCGGTAGTGATCTCCCGTTTATCGTTTTTTATTGTATCTATTTGATTCTTCTCTCTTTTCTTTTTCATTCGTCTAGCTAGCAGTCTATTTTGTTGATCTTTTCAAAAAACCAGCTCCTGGATTTATTGATTTTTTGAAGGGTGTTTTGTGTGTCTATCTCTTTCAGGTCTACTCTGATGTTAGTTATTTCTTGTCTTCTGCTAGCTTTTGAGTTTTTTTTTATCTTGCTCCTCCAGGTCTTTCCATTTTGACAACAGGGTGCCGATTTTGGATCTTTTCTTGTTTCTCATGTGGGCATTTATTGCTATAAATTTCCCTCTAGACATTGCTTTAAATGTATCCCATAGGATCTGGTATGTTGTGTCTTCATTCTTGTTGATTTCAAAGCACATTTTTATTTCTGCCTTCATTTCATTGTTTATCCATTCGTCATTCAGGAGCAAGTTGTTCAGTTTCCATGTGATTGTACGGTTTTGAGTGCTATTCTTAATCCTGATTTCTAATTTGATTGCGCTGTTTTCTGAGAGACTGTTTGTTATGATTTCCATTCTTTTGCATTTGCTGAGAAGTGATTTACTTCCAATTATGTGGTCAATTCTGGAGTAAGTGCAATGTGGTGCTGAGAAGAATGTGTGTTCTCTGGATTTGGGGTGGAGTGTCCTGTAAATGTCTATTAGGTCCGCTTGGTACAAGCTTATGTTCAAGTCCTGGATATCCTTGTTGGCTTTTTGTCTGGTTGATCTGTCCAATATTGTTAGTGGAGTGTTGAAGTCTCCCACTATTACTGTGCATGAGTCTAAGTCTCTTTGTAGGTCATGAAGAACTTGGTTTATGTATCTGGGTGCTCCTTCATTGGGTGCATATATATATTT